AACAAGATTCGACTGAAAATTTGTTTTGCCGGTCATCAAGTTATTTCTGGTATGATTTCATTTTAAAGTTGTTTCTACTCGATGTGTCTAAAACCCCGCCCTGCAGAACACCATTTCTAGTTTAATCACCCCATTCAACATCCACCAAGTCAGCTGAGATACATGAAGTATCTCTCTTCTTATTACAGCTTAAAATGTATGTACTCTTTACTATTCACATTTTTCTCTATAAAAATAAATCACTTATTACGGCTCTTACCGTATGGCTGAGTAAAGACGAACAGTCTGTAGATGGTTGATAATAGAAGATCCTTGATTAAACACTTTGATAAAATAGTGGTTATGAACAATGACTTGGTTTTATAGAGAAATACTAGGGCGATCACTTGATTAAAGAGTACTTTTATTACTCACAATGTCGATATGTTGGGGTTTTTTTTGTCTTTTTCTTAGGTTTGCCTTCTATGGTTCCATTTGGTCGTTATGACTATGATGTGATACTCCTGTGCTTACTATTATAATGTAGTTTAAATAATGTACTTAAATCACGCAATGAAATCAGGTTAATCGTATGGAACTACAAAATACTGGTAATTAAAGATTCCTGGGCAGTCTATGTCGGTATCCGTCTACTTACCTGCTGTCAAGAAATAATGCAGTTATAACAATCGCACATTAATTGTAAGCACTCGAAAAATACATGACGTCATGAGTTATCAGTTTCTATCCACATGTTCACAAAGACTTTGAGCTAAGTGCATAGAGGTAGAGTATAAAAGCTAATTTTGAGTTTATTTGGTTTTAAATGATAGATACTTTCAAATATTTTTCAAGCTTCACCCAGCTATCCAAGAATATGTTTTATATGTGTTTATATACGATAAACTTGCCGATAACAGTTCGGTTTATAGATAGATGGGTAAATGTAGATCTAATAATCACCGCAGTAGGAACATAAATCTATATCTGAAATCAACAGGGATTACTACAAACGTTACACCCTTTCTAAAAATTATATATAATAAAATTCAACCCCACAGTAAATCATGAAGATAGACAAATAAGTTTGCTTTAATTACTGCTAGACGCTAGAGACCTATAAATCTTCAGAGTTGTAAACTTGTTGTTACCCGTCTTTCACATGAACAGGTGAGCTGGAGGTCTTAATATCATTTTTTTTTTAACTTGTTAAATATCAAAGGAAAACTTAGCTCGTGTTACCTGTTCAATAACATAGGTATCTGCCATGTTTTCGTCCGGCTGTCGACCCAATTTACTAACTAACCCACTAAATTATAAAAAGAAGAAACCCAAAGAAAAAGTAAAATCGTTCATGCTAGCGCTTTATATTTGATAAACTATATATCATACAAATGCAGGTGTTACGGTTGTTTAAACGTGAAATATAGCTACACGTCCAGATCTCCATGATGAAGGTCATCTCTCGATCTTACACAATCTGATTTTAATACATCTATATTTCGTTGTGTTTAATGACAGGTAAATGGAATTTTTGAATTATAAAATACGAAATCGAAATAGGATCTGTGTTTTAGTTTTAATTAGATTGGAGCTTACACTAAATCAATCTTTTCTCTTAAATCAATAAAAGAATAACGAATTAGGGTTGTTTTAAGCTGCTGAAATAATTATTGAGTGTCGAACGACTAAGGGCTTTTTTGACATGTCATAGAACGTGTTAATGAGGTCCAATAAACATAAGACAGAAACTCCACAAATATGTCACCTTTCTGTACTCAGCAGTTTGATGAGGAGCCGACGATGAAACACATATTTCGCTTCTGTACTCCACAAATATGTCACCTTTCTGTACTCAGCAGTTTGATGAGGAGCCGACGATGAAACACATATTTCGCTCGTCACGATTCCTAGTGTTTCAGTAATCTAGTATAACTAACAGGTGGCTGGTATAACTTACTCTTTTTATATATCACCGCCATTAGGAAGTTTAAAATATCGTAAGAAATAAAATTGTGTTAATGCATTCAATTAAGACGAGTTCACACGCGAGTTTCGTATATAACCAAGAAGTGGAAGTTTGGTTCCTGGCTCTAAGAAACTCAGACAAACTAATAAATACTGATAAAATATGCGAAAAAACAAGACAATGGGTCATAAAGCAAATTCTCATCCGATATCATCGAAATGAAATAAAATGGGGTTTTACAGCCTTCTTTCCTGCGCCAACTGGATTAATGAAGGAGGTATATGACATTCAGTGTGATTGAGTCTCAGGAAAGCAGAGCGACGATCTACTTTTATTTCGAATTCAAACTGTACTTTTACGATATTCCTGTCCGAAACCACGCCGACCACAGTATCGAAGTTTTGAAGAACCGCTGAGTGAGTGAGCGCAATGACCTGATATAAGCAACACAGCCTATGTATTTCAAAGCATGTATAACATTCGATACAAGCACGATAACGTGTGTTGATGCTTAAATAGTTTTTACAATTTATGAATGTAATGTTAAACCCATTTGTTATCAGATTTTGCAGTTGGTTGTACTTGATGTCTCGTTATGCAATTTGTCTTGGAGAATTTGCATTATGTTGAACACGTTATCTGAGATCTAAATGAACAGACCCTGTCGCCGTTCCGATGTAAACAGAACTTGGTTTTCGTTCAATTACGCATTCAGTAGAGTGGAAGTCGTGACTTCGTTTATTACGGGTCAATTATCAATATATTTGTACAGGCAATCGAGCGATCATCAACATTACAAATAAAACCCAGTAGAACTGGCCGACAAGACCTACAATCAAAAATATGATCCGTGTAAAAAAAAAGCTGTAGAACTGGGCGACAAGACCTACGTCAAGCTATATACAACAATGTGATCCTTGTAAAGGTTTACAATCCATTCCAAATAAAATCCTTTTTCGGGGACTACCCATTGAGGAACATTCCATGGTAGTATATCGTAGCATCTGACGGCTGAAGAGCCATCGTCGGAGTAAAGTGAATTGACAAACAACGTTCATCGTTAAATTTGGTTTCATTTTCGGTAGTGCTATGTCTCTAGATTCACGGCATTAACAATAATTGACACATGTCAATGATGGGTAACATAACATGACACCTCTATTATTATTCTAATAATACCGACAAGGGATTACCTGTCATTTCTACGTCATGAATCAGTATTATGTCACACACATTACATTGTCATCGATCATAAATGTTTGATAACATGCTTTCAAAAAGATCATTTAGTAATCCTGCTACCAGATATCTCAAATCAATATCTTCGTGTTGAAATTCATGTTCTCTCAAACAATGTCAGGGGTCAATGATTAACAGAATCGATATCCCACAGTTTCAAATGCACCGACCTCTTAAACATCAAACAGCTACAATTAACATATTCCATATGGTTTAATATAAAGACGAGTAAATAAAATGGATTATTTTAACGTGCTATTAACTGTTGTCATTTACAGTATTTGGAGACAAATTTGACACAACCACATACAGAAAGGAAAATCGCCATTACGAAACATTAAAAAAAAAATCACAAAACAAAATGCCTCTTTGTGATGTCATGGAACCAAACCTAATTTTCTCTGACACTATTTATTTAAAAAAAAACAAAAAAAACCCCTCATATTTTCCTTGGTGTAATATCTATTTACTATATACAAAGTAATAAATTAATTTGGTATTTTGTAGAGACAACACCAAAACGGTTAATATGGTTGAATAATAATGTAAGTCCTATATTTATACAACGATAAACTGGCATTGTACAAGAATGTGACCCATATAAAGTTTTATAACATGTTAAACAAAGCACTTACCTTATCAATTTTACTTATATAAATATATAAACATATATAGTTAATTGTCGAATATATATACACATAATATAACAAGATACATGGATTACATAATATACATAACAACACAACAAGAGTACATAATATAACGTACACAGTAAAATAACTATATTTGGAATACTTTATTATGCAATAAATTGCAGAGCACAAAGTACATTTTTCTATTGGAAACGTGTGCATTAACAGCTCCAAAATTGCATTTTCCCTAGAACACACGACTTATATTATATATTTATATGTGTTCTAACAGCCACTGTAATGTAGCTTAAAGCAAAACCAATACCACGTAAAAACATTAAAATATAGTTTTATAGCATATTTATTATATTCATTATGTAATATTTATTTAACGCAAGAATTCCATAGTTTAAAAGTGTACTTAGGAAGCTAACGTTGTGATGTATGTGTAATGGAAGACTTGACTACAATCAAATACATGCAATTTATGTGTCCATACAATTTTTCTCCCTATTTCCTCTAGATGCACCCAAAGGAAATACACCTATCGTTCGCCATAGTCTGTGGTCTTTTGTTCTTTCTTTTTATAAAATTTTGCAAGTTTACAAATGTTGGTTAACGATTCGCTAAACAAACTATATAAACGTCGTGTGTGCAACAAATAATTGGAGATTTTGTAATTGAAAAATGTTTGATTAGACATTAGACTATACATGAACAACAGTTTGACTGGCATACACATGTACATAACATAGCATTGATCGACTCTTTGATCAGCTAACATATAGCATTGATTACAGATGTACATATATAACAACGTATATTAATAGCACATAGTCATGATTGATATTTGCAAGGCAGCAGGGGTGTGAATAAGTTTTCTACTGAAAACAACTTAAAAGAGCGACGTATTACTTTGATATCAAAGATCCCAGATCGAACATTAAGCCTCGTCGGAGGGTTAATATTAAATGTACATGTATGTAAAATATAGGTAAAGTACCTGTACATTTGGCACGTGTTTGTTAACGATATGATAAATCCGCGTTTACATGACTACATACATGCTACTAACAGTAGAGTCAGTCACATTGACAAGACATATACGATCGCCATAATCAATAAATATACATACTAAAAGTAAAAGCTAAGAAGAGTTATAAAAGTTCATGCGAACATACCTGGACTGAAGTTTTATTAAATCCTTAAGAATTGATTGTAAGGTAAACACCGTTCCGTTCTTAGACCTGTTATTTCTTGATCCTCGACGCATGCTCGTTCCAACTAATACTACACTATGGTATAATTCCTTGTTAACAATGTTTGACTGCACGTGGAGGCAATGTCTTCTGTTATGAAGTAGCAAAGAAATGGACCAAGACGCTCTTGACTCGCAAACCTTAATGTTGTGAAGGATCAAAATGGGTCACACATTAAGCATATATTAAAACTATATCCCTCCAATTTATTAAGAGAACTCGTCATGGCCTCGCGAACATTGCAACACCCGTTTTACTAGTTATGATCTGTCGAGTGTGAACGTCACGCGATTATAATCTTGGTCGCCTCTCTCGATTATCCCCGAATCGATTTCTTTTTCACAGACAGGTGTTTTTACTCAAACTTCAGACAAATATGTTCCTCCAAGAAATACTGACGTGTATGAATATTTGAACATCAAGTTTTCTCACATGCATAGACATCCAGTTACTAGTTTGCCACCGAAAAAGAATATCCGTTTTGTCGTCTGCTAAATTGTTTTGTGTGAGTAATACCCCTTGGATTAGGCAGTATATGGTTCCAATGTGTGGAATTGGCCAAGCTAAAAGGACGATAGAACAGATATCGAGCGGTTTGTCAATGATACACACTTGTGATGCTGATATTCAGAAAGACTGGGTACATATATAAGCTTTATTAGCTCGGGACTCGACACCCATCTACACTGTGTAGCGCGCCTGTGGTGAGAACTGATAAGGCTAAAATCCAAACATTCCCTAGAGTAGACAGTTACAACAGCCTATTAATGTTAACCGCTCGGACAGAAAAACTAATGACGAGTAGATTTGACAAAATGGCTGATTAGTGTGAGACGTACAATAGGTAATATGTACTTGGCTTCACGGCAACGACAATTTGATGTAATTAGTGAGATACTGAAAGTTTATACCAGATACTGAACAGACTAAACTATGATTGGGCCAATTAGATAAATCTCGGCCTATAACTTATATTTATAAATTTCAATATTTGTATACAGTGCACAATGCTATTATAGAAATGAAATGGGATTTAACGTCCTACTTTTTTGCACCAACGGGGTTTATGAAGACGGGCATACGCGATGCAGTGTGCTTTATGAGGGAAATTTTGCCCGGTCAGCGGTCAAGGGTTCTTTTACGTGTATGCCAATATATGCATGGTACCTCGATTTTTCGTCTCATCCGAAGATTCGACACTTTCCCTTGCAAAACTTTCCGTACTACATCATTGACAAGGGGAAACAACGCTTATAGCCATCTAGCATCTTACTCACAAGGCTATTCTGGATGTTTAGTTTTTAATCATTTCCGTTGTCCCTTTATCGTTGCCCAAATAAAGTCTGATAGTTTGTAATTTTTTAATTCGATCCCTGCATTGGCCGAGAAAGTTCATCCAGATTTTCCGGCGTGGTTACCCCTTGTCAGTGATGCAGGACGGAGGGCCTGACAAGGACAGCTGTCTAGTCGTTCGGATGGGACGAAAAACCGAGGTCCTGTGTACATATTGGCGTGCACGTAAAAGATCCCTTGGCATAAGAGTAGGCCGTAGCGCCGCTGCCCCGGCAAAATTTCACTCATAGCACACTGTATGGCGTATGCCCGTCTTCGTTAGCCAAGTTTAGGAGCAGAACAGTAGGACGTTAAACCCCATTTCATTTCATTTCATTCTTGTAATTTTTTAAGGATAAGGATAAGCAATAAAATTTCAACATAGATTAAGATACCACATTTTGCAACAAACAACAATGTTAAAATAATGCTCGTCTTTTTTGTCCGGATATGTCAACCGTTCACTATTTGAGGCGCATTATTGTATTTAAATATAGTTAGATTTGCGGGACACAATGAATCGCATAGAAGGTTTTTCAGATTTTGAAACCAAGTTTTTGAATCACTGAAATTCTTCGTTCTACGTAAAAACAACTATAAAACCTTCCGTTTAAAGATGCTTCCCCAACTCTCGCCAGTGACACCTATGATGGCAATCTTAGAGACAGAAAAAGTTATTTGCAGAAAAACAGAAAGAGTGTGGCATGAAACCAAGTTAGAGGTTCATAACCAGATATACAGAGCAGATATATAGATATGCAAAGGTCATATCTATGATCAGATCTGCCAAAAATAGTTACTATAATAATAATAAATTATCAAATTGTCCAGTCGCTTACATCGGATACAACTCGACAGCTTCCATCATCAACTGTTGAGCTTGGGCTTGCCGAGGGATTTTCCTTCTTTTTTCCAAACTGAAGTATCTGACATTAGGAAAGGAATAGATAGTCTGGTTGACTCCGATACGGAGGATGAAAACCATTTCCGTCGTTAGAGTGCAATCTAAATTTATTTGTTACTGTTTCTGAAGAACAGGTAAAGAAGATTATACTAAAGAGTAAATTTGATACACATAATACTTTCATCACAGCAACTATCTTGCTTCCAACCTGGCTTCTGAAAGAGGAGAAAGTATTGGAGGTTCTGCTTCCAATCATTACTGGCATTGTTAATAATTCTATAACGACTAGTACTGTTCCTGTATGCTTAAAGTTAACTCTGATTTCACCTATCTTCAAGACAGAACTCAACAGGTGCAAATAAACAGGCCTGTGTCTCAACCCTGTGCTGTTTCAATAGGTGTTCCACAAGGATCTGTATCGGGACCTTTACTTTTCTCTTATACATTCTTCCAATTGGTCAAATCACAAGACATGGGGTACAAAACCATGGCTTTGCTAACGACACCCAGATATATGACTACTTTCATCACAACAACTATCTTGCTTCCAAGGATTCTATCAGTAGACTAGAGTCTTGTCAATGACATTCAAGGATGGATGACCAGAAATAGACTAAAGCTTAACGACGACGAATCCAAATTTCTTGTCATGTCATCAAAATCACAATCCAGTAAATTGTTTAAAGCGGATTCAATTCAGATCGGTGATTGCTAAAAATCTTGGCTATGTGACCGATGAATTTATATCCCCAGTTTCCGAAATCAAAAGTATCATACGGAAAATGCATCTTCAAATGAGAGTTATTTCGAGAATACGCTCTAATCTTAATACTGATGCTTTCCAGGGTGTTGTTGGAGCATTAGTAACATCGCATATGGACTATCCAAATTCACTTCTATTAGGAGCACCAGAAACAGCCTTAAACAGACTAGAAATAGCGCAAAACAATGCTGCACGTCTCATGCCTAAAACACGAAAATTTGATCATATATCAGCTAAGTTACAGAAACTCCATTGGCTTCCAGTTCGAGCGAGGGTTCAATTTAAAGCTCTTGTGAATGTGTTTAAAACAATTAACTGACCCCAGTTATTTAAAAGAACTCTTTGAATTCTATACTCCCCGGCGACCCAACCTTCGTTCTTCAGGTGATCGTAGCATTTTGAGGATTCTTAAATATAATAAACGTTCTGGTGAATATGCTTTCTCAGTCAGAGCAACTAAAATGTGCAATGATGTTCCAAAAACTCTTCGAGAGTGAGAATCCTCTTCCATCCAGAGCTTTAAGACTAACTTAAAAACATATTTATTTCAAAAACGTTTCTGAACTGTTTTGTTGTGAATGCGCTTAGAAGCACTTACGTGTAATAAAACGCTATATAAATCGAACAATAATAACAATATCTGTTTCGATAAAATTACATTTGTTAAAAATGTCCAAAGTAAACACAGGTGTATAAAATATTACAAAGACTACTGCCTAACAATTTAAAATATGATAAAAGCATTTCTGCTGCCTGACATGTTCACCTTTATAAGAAGTAAAACAAGAAATGTGGCTCGAATGAATATGTTTTCAGACATTCCGTAGTATTCGACATGAAATATATTTCGTAAAGCTCTTTATCTTCTGTCAACACAAATTAAACATGGGGATACGTGGCATTTGAATTTCTCAAACTTATTAATGGATATATGTAAAAATAAAATATGACACACTACATGTATTCCTTTCATTGCATTTCTCAACGAGCATTGGCCGCTAACAGCATATGGCAATAATTTTGACTATCGGCTAGTGAATGTTTATCAGAGGACCTGTTTTTTTTAATCATGATTTTGATTATTATCAACTGTAACTTCAAGTGTCAAAGTGACCCTATGAGAGAACACCTTAATTGAGCCCAAACAGAACGAAATTTGATTTCCTTTTCGGGGCTGACATGGCATATCTGAGACAAACCGCGAGGATGGAGTCGAGGTGTTACACCTTGTCGCGCACAGGCCATTGGATTGAACACCAAATGACTCAATGACAAACCTTATGATCTAAAACTCATGCGTTAAACCACTCGGTAGGTCAACCTCCATACCTCAGCTTGTAGCTATGATATGAGGACACCTTACGAAATTTGGAGAGCTTTTCTCAGTGATTGTATATAGAAGGAAAATGGAGTATACAAAACACATTCAGGAACGAAAAGTCAATAACAAGAACAATTTCAACATTAAGACACTCTAAACCATTTTTTTTAAAAGGAAGAGGTATAAGTATAAGAAACAATTTATAAAACATCCTTAAAACCCCATAAAACAAACAACTAGCTGACAGTTTGAAATAGTCCACCATCATTTGTAGCGTCGATAGAAAATAAAGCGTCTGTATTTAGACGTTAATAAGATCTAAAATGTATTTTTCGTTATCTATAAGCGCCTAGAAATGTCGACATATTTACTACATTAAAACTTAACATGTCCGTTATTTGGTATTTTCAGATAGTAATAACAGACGCGCGGTCAAACGAGAAAAAGATAATCAGTACAGTTTAAACAAGATCAAATGTCTAAACCAGAAGACATAGTTCATAATCTTTCAGAATTTGTATTTTTTACAAGAGAAACAATTCCGGGGCATTGGTTCAAATTTAATTTCACAAAATCTAATTAATTAACACGTTGTATTATGATTTGATATTTTGCTCCTGGCGTGCCCAATATATGTAGAGCTACAACGCAGTAATACGAATCTAATTCTATTTTCTCTCGCTACAATCGAGATTTGTTACTAAGCAATGTAATGCCTGCTTAAATTATTTTTTGATAAAAACCTTAATATGTTGAACATTTATTTACAACCATGTTCCTTGTGTTGGCGTCGAGCAGATAGAAGATTATGGAGATTATGGAATTGAGTTACTTCCTGTGTATACTCACAACTTGTCCCTTGAAAGTACTTTTAACTAAATCGAGAGGACAATAGCAGATAACCGTGGAATAAAAAAGTATCGGCAAATTGTCCCTTGAAAATAGCTTAACACACAACAAATATCTTTGTGAATATTTGTACGATGTTTATCAGAATGCAGTACAACAACCGGAAGCTAATAACAGATGGATCTCTAGAGATCGTCCCCGACTTTAATATCACCATGGTATCACAACACAACACAACTCAACACACTATCATCAGTAGACATGATATTATATTGTTTTCTCTGTTTGTTTATTTGTCCAAATTATAAGTTACATTCATACAGATTTGACATATTTTAGAGATTTAGATATAGGTAGCAACCACATTATTACGTACCTTTTGATGAACTAGTATAATGCAAATTTTGCATTAAAACTAGTCATATGAAATGGATATATTTTTTTAGTTACGGTAGAGTTATAATTTATTAATAGACCAGTAGTTGATTTCCGTCTTCTTGTAATAGATTTTATGTATATGTGTGTGTTGTGTTGTGTGTGGGTGTGTGTGTGTGTGTGTGTGTGTGTGTGTGTGTCCGGGAGGGGGGGGGGCACAATTCAGCTCTGTTCCTGTTCCTTAATAAATGGGCGCTACCCGATGCTGTCGATATTGAGATTGCTTATCTGTGGAGAAAAAAATTTCTTCTCACTTTTGTCCACATTGATGCAATAGAACAACTTTAAATGAAAAGTGTCCTTTTCATTCTGTACTCGCGAGATGATACCACGTCTGATGGATTTTAAGTCATTTCAGATAAATACAAACTTAAGTTACAAGATGGGCATTAAATGAGAAAAAAAATATTATAATATTATCTTCAACCTACAGAACTAGAAACAGGAGTACGGTTTTGTAAAAACCACAGGAAATAATATCAAAAACAGAATTACATCTCTTATCTTATTACTGTTTAATGACGTTGTAATATGGAACCAGGTTTAGTCAACATGGCGTGTAAATGGATATATCGCATGTCTAGTGAGAATTTTCTTTCTCTGTTTCTTGAAAACTATAATTAATTTCGGGTCAGAATAAATTCAAAAGCTTTGGTGAAAAACTTTTTGCTGATTAAAATGTGATTGATACGGTAGATCACATTATTCGAATTACTTTCTTCATCAACTGATATCTTCAGACTAACTAATCAACAAGGTACTTAATGGCGAGGTCAATGTGATCATCGCTCAGTAACGGATCATACGAGTACTTGATCGCCATAACGCTTATAAACATATTTACATCTTAAAAACAGTAATGATTAATCGAAATTTCAATATTGGCATTGCACTAATATTCAAAAGTACAAAATAAGTTTGTAAGTTTATAAAATGACCAATGTTACAGAAAATGACCCACTTGTGACTACTGTGAGCGGTAGCTTGGGCGTGGTTTGCAGAGCTAGGCTAAAACTACTGGGTAGAAGATCGCCAGAATAGTCACCAATTACCAATTAGTGTATAAATAGTAAATAAAGAACTTTCTGTAATGGCAAACATATTAATTATTTGCAGATTTATAATAAAGATTTCTTTGTGATTATCAACCATAGAATAATTATTTCGGGCAGCACGTTTCCCTTGTCTGCAAAAATAGATCTCAAAAACAAAAACACGATTTTTTGACGTGAAAAAAGCGGAAAAATAGAATTTGTATATCTATAGATAATGTCGATTACACCAAATATGAAACTAAAATTATTCGCGTACTGCTTGATCCTTTGAAAACAAAAAATTAGTGGTTTAGCTCCTTTTATTAAATATAACCATTTTTACCCTAAATTAATGAGGTCGTATCCTTTCAAACTTTTAATAGTAAGTCGAAAATATCACTTTGAATATAGGTATAACATTTTTTTTATAAATAAATTAGGGTAGATTATGGAAGCGTATTAGGGTCAATAGCGCTATGGATATCGAGATATTAATAAGGTAATATGTCAATATATTGTGATCGTTTTGAAGAATTTACACCTGAATGGACTGTTTTTTGTCGCGTTAACTGAATCAATGCACTGAGTTGTATTTCGTTTTAAATTATGCACACGTTTGCTTTCAGATATCGCTATTAAGAAGTTTTGTCGATATATTCCAATTGTGTCGACATAGCGCATAGCGGTATTTTACGAACATGTCTAAATAATAATATACTACGGCGAAATGGAATATGTCGAGAACGCTCCAGAATAGCAATATCTTAACGCATACGTGGCCATTTTGAAGAACCCCCCCCCCCCAAAAAAAAAAAAACACAAAAAAAAACGACATACAACATAGCGCGTTGATCAATTAACTCGGCATAAATCATCTTTTCAGGTCTAAAATAATCTCAATGATCACAATATGTTGACATATTACCGTCGGTGTCTGTCTTGCTACTGACCCTTATATGCTTCCATAGTAGAGAGTGGGCGGAATATATATTTCGGAAAATAGAAAAAAGATATTACAATGTTTCTCACATGTATGACCCGATCCACTTTTTATTTGCTGAAGAAATGGAACAGTCATACAAACTATTTCAGCGTGACATCAGGCATGCCTCTATTACTATTTAGAATTTTCTAGAAACGAAAAAAAGATAAGCAATAAAATTTCAACATAGATTAAGATACCACATTTTGCAACAAACAATAATGTTAAAATAATGCTTGTCTTTTTTGTCCTGATATGTCAACCGTTCACTATTTGAGGCGCATTATTGTATTTAAATATAGTTAGATTTGCGGGACACAATGAATCGCATAGAAGGTTTTTCAGATTTTGAAACCAAGTTTTTGAATCACTGAAATTCTTCGTTCTACGTAAAAACAACTATAAAACCTTCCGTTTAAAGATGGTTCCCCAACTCTCGCCATCGTAAATAAGTAACATTCGATTGGAAAAAAATATCCAAACTATCGGCGGAAATCAACTAATAATACCTTCCGTTTAAAGATGTTCCTCGACTCTCGCCATAATAAATACATAACCATCGATTGGGAAAAAAATATCCAAACTATCGGGGGGGATATAATAACAGTTGTGTTTGTCGTTTTATAATAGTAACTAATGTAATTTATGCAAGTATATATAAGTATATTTTTTCCGGTTTAGGAAATATCATACTTTCAGAAAAAAAAAAGTTTAGATGGTCGAACATTCCTTTAAAACGTACATTACATTGCTAACTGCCTATTCATACCAAAGTAGGCCAGAATTTGTTGGCAATCATTTTCTTAAATTTTCTGGTAGATATATAAAAAAAGGAAATCAGTTAGGGAATAGTTTCTTGAAAATAATACATAAACTTAAACGGGAGAGAAGGAATTTGATTAACGGTATAATGATTTGGGAACTTTAAAAGATATAAGTATTGCGCATTTACACAGACATCACCCAATTTTCTATGAGAAATCTCCGGTTGGTATGTCAGTATGTCACTTAATAATTTGCAATTTTAGTCTACTAAAGATACATTCTTTTGTTATTGTATTTGTTATGGGTGTTTTAATCACTTTCAGATTACATTGGCAACAGCGTTGCAGCCGTACTTGTCAAATCTACTGGTTGACTGGGTATGTTAATCACATTCGTTCTTTTAACTTTATTTTTCCCGGCCATGAGAAACACCATATTTTCAGTTTTGAATTAACGGAGGATAACCACTAAACAGCGAAGGAACATATTTTGCGTCGTACGTTTTGTTTGCAACTTTACGTTCCGTGATCGTCAGCATGGTGGTTCTTCAAAGTACTGAAACTTTTATAATTTGCAAAATAAGATCGTTAACTTTGGAATCTTCATGATTTTCCACTATGGGTCTGGCAAGGAAATGTTGTCTGGTTATACGGACGGGACAAAATCCCAGGACCCAGAGTACAGTCAGGTAATAAACGTTAAAGATCCCTGGAAAGATAGCGTTTGAGTAGGCGGAAACGCCACTGTCGGGGTACCCAGCACCCCCCCCCCCCAACTCACATTGCACGTATAACCATAGATTAGATAGATACCGTAGAAGAATCTCATACAAAACGACCTAAGTGTTCACGAGACGTTAAAGCCCATCCCATTCCGTTTGGTTTCATTTTATTGTCCTACTAAAGGGAATCAATGGCTAATTGTCGAGGCGTATTTATACAAAAGGGCTGAATTTTATATGTTATAAACAAAAAGAAATAACTATTATATATTCTATACTATAAAATATATAGGATCGACGTGTTTCCCATATCTTAATATAAAGCTATTGTTTTTTTCCCTTATTTCGGTGGGCTAATATAGATATAAATAATTGATGTTTGTGTAAAGATTTATAGGTAATGGGCAATAAATCGCTGAATGATGATAAGATGATAAGACACTATAGGGGATATTATAACAGTTCAAACGTCTGGACACATTCCCTTTATTGCATTTTATCAGAAATCTTTCATAAATATCTGTTCTAGAGGGAAATCATATATAAGCTATCTAGATGACCTGGCGCCTGGTACGTTCGGGCATTTTTATGCGCGAACTCTTAGGTTTTTTTTTTACTGGCACGCGCACAGGTACTATTTCTTTTTCTTTTAACATGTACCCAAATCGGGGATTTCGTGCGGAGGTAGTTCGGAGGTAAACAGTCTGTGAAGTACAACTTTTGCCACTGTACCTGTGTATCGCTAATTATAAACCGAATGTGTGAAGACAGTTCATACATATCACTCAAAAATTTTTCAGTACAAACTCAGTTGATTTACGCTCGATTTGCTACTAAACAAACCCATCGGTTTATTTTCTCAACAGTGTGACCCGAAGTGACCGCGGATTTATTGACCTTGTATGAACTTATCCATAGCTATATCCTTACACCGAGAGAAATTATCTAGTCTCGGTGAAAAGAACCATGGTCATCTGGTAGAAAATTACTTTTGTATTTTTTGGAACGGAAAACAGTGTTTTTAGAAGCAAACTAACCTGCCGCACATGAGGAAGTCATTATACTAATAATAAAAGGCGAGATCTCTTTTTGCGGCGCAGGCTTATCACTGAGTAGTAAACCGTCCACAAACAATAATATAGGAAGCCTAGTGACGAGTGTAGGCTATAGACTATAGGTTTGAGTCGAGATTACTCGCTTTCAGTTTACTCTGTTTTTGCGATAACCAATTATGTGAGAAATACCATACTGACATTTGGTTTTTAAAAGTTGTACGCGAACTAAATGCGTTTGTTAGATACTGACAGAGCAGCCCCGAGTCGAACAATCGCCGCCCGAGCTGTCTTCGTCAGCTAGTTTCACAATATCGTGCAATAGGTGTATTAATGTGATTTTTAGGTTTAACCCCGCAAACAATGCCAAAATAGTGTTTTCACTGCTTACAGAAAACTGAAATTTAAAAAAAAAATTTTTTATGAGGATGACCCTCCCACACACTCCCTATCGAGCTACCGCTCGGTCTGCGCAGCCTCATGCCTGGCACATACTGTCAACATTGTATATTTTTACGTTTCCGCCCTTCCCCCCCACAATATATATTTCACGGCTACGTTGCGACGGTACCAGCATACCCAGTTGTTGACACCCATTACATCACTCCTGTCTAACAAATCATAAAGCTGTGGTGTTACGGTGGCGGCATAGTATTTCACCGTAACACCACAGCCACTCTAACCATTCATAATACATCTAACTATCCCTTTACAGCACTTCACTCCCTACACATTTTCCCTCGTCCTACTTTCCCAAACGTCAAAACACATCTCATACATCCAGTTCGCTGATTAACCCTTGTACCACGTCTACTGGATATACAGTCATCTGATTTTAAGAGTATGTTGGCATAATTATATACCACTATAACACTTTATTTCACATTTAAACGTCTTCTAGAATGATACATATATCAGCACAGATTGTATTGTTTTTTTAAAGCTGCGATGCACCCATCCTCGGTTACCCAGTGTACTCATTCCGTTCTACTCCACTATACCCTGGGTTTATCCATAGGGTTTCCACGATTTCAAATTATCTGCCCTGGCCTAGAATGTAGCTACAGTCTACGAACCAATCAGAAAACAGTTTACAAACCAATCGTTTCGCCTTCGTTTTTATAAGGGTAGATAAACATATTCATGTCCATTTACTGAATGATTTATGTAAATAATGTATATATTTATAATTTATTTATATTTAATTGTATTATCAAAATGTGTAGTATGTGTTGTTGATTTCAAATATGTATAACATCTATGTGTTTGACTTTTGTTATTATTATTACTATTCGTTCTTTGTCTGAAATATGTCATTCTGTTATGTTTATTATTATTGAACTTATACATGGCAATTTGATTCTCAATAACTTGTCTGCGATATCACGTGGACATAAAATTCCTGGAACGAACGAACGATTCTAAATAAAACTAATGACCCTACATTATTATACGAACGTCTGGTCTTCATTAACAGAGTAATAAATTGGTTGTTAATAATTACGCATTTAGAATAGGCCAACTCCTAACATTGTCCGATGAGAGCTACTTACCTTTTCCAACTTCCTTTTCAAATAACAATTTATGGGATTGGTCGATAAAAAAAGCTCAATCATCAAGGGCGGATAACTTGAAAACGTGTCTCCCCAATAGATTAACCCAGGGTATAGTGGAGTAGAACGGAATGAGTACACTGGGTAACCGAGGATGTGATGCACCAGAAGGTCAATAAACATTTCCTTTTATTTGAATTTAACAAAGATAGGGACAGAAAAATATTCTTTAGACAGTAATTAAACATGTATTATGCAAGCGCTAAATATGCCCTGTGTAGGTCTTTCTTTAGGCCTGAAATATTATCTAAATTGTTAATTAGACATTAATTAACTTAGCCATGATCAACTCCTGATGCTTTCAATATTTAGTGGAATTGAATACATTTTGTGATGGATAATTTAACGTAAAATTGGATAATCGAGACTGTGTTCATTATCGCACCAACGTTAGTAATGGCGATCGAGGCTAGCCTAAAATTGAATCGCTAATATCTCGGTTCAGAGTGAAGTAATTTGACTGAATTTTCAGCATATTATGTTTTCATTATTATCTACTTTTTAACTATTATAGCCAGAACTGTCAGCTCTTTGTCTAATCTTACCCAATGCCCCTTTAAGACGATTAAAGCAACAATCTTAGTTATTATTCATGTTTTAATAAAAGTTGTAGATGTAATATTTGACTCAAATGTATTCTTTAGATAGATCATTAGATCAACAGATGTGATATTTGACTGAAATATATTCTTTAGACAGAGAAAGAGAGGGATAATGGGGGGGACTAACATATAGAAAGTTACAGAATTTTAAATGACCATAGCTTACAGGTTTTTATATTGTGCATGGACTGAAGTCTATATTTGCCTTTTAAGCCAGATTATTGTTCCTCAAAACGATTAAGTGCGAAGGCTGTCAACATAACATGAGCTTTAATGTGCACAAAAAATCAAAATAAAAAAAAAATCATTCTCAATATTCTAAGATTTTAAAATTTATAAACCAGATCATTATATATTTGAACGATGTATCATAATTAGTCAAATATGGCGTATTGTCGATAGATTCAAGTTTGAATGGATTACTGTAATTTTTTGGAAATAAATCTCATTTTGTTAAGTGGTAAATTGCGTGGAGGTTTGGGGTTATCAACAACGATAACGTTGTTTTCAATTTGTCTAGGCGATGTTCAATTAGATTGGCCATATCAATAATTAAACACTGACAGTTAATAATATAATTTTACTGATATTAAAAGATTACATTAGCTGACATACACTGGGTTATAATAACCTACCGTGTTTTTTTTTATAAAGATATGATCCACATTTCCGTTACATAATTTGATCATGAAGTGGGTGTGTATAGTTTGTTGATAGTTATATCAGACTTATATCGTTAGGCTTCCATTAACCTGAAATATATTTAATGGTAGAATAATCAGCCCTTCTCATCATGCAGTCTGGTCGTGGATTTGCAACTTGTTATTCATTGAATTACTAGAATGTTATAGAATAGAATTGATTTGGCATTTTGAGACTATGGGGATATTGTTGTTTTACACTGCGAGTAGGTAAATTTTTACCAGACGGTGGAATTCCCACCTACTCTTCTTCGTATTCCAACTGCAAGAGGATCTTTATCGAGCAATACCGGACACCGTTTTTTCATCCAATTCAAACAACTAGACATAAATTTCTTATCACCCCTGCACACCCAACTCCTGACAAGCGTCACAACTGGGTTTTAAAACTCTCGATAGTTTATGGGCTGATATTAAGTTGGGATAGCCCTTGTTCGGTCTTTACGGCGCACGGAACAACCTTCTTTACTGGGTCTCGTCCATTGTACACATTACTTAGATACAGATAACAGAATAAGGTCGTAATAGGTGTACTTGATCTGATCAGATTATCATAACCCGTAGTACTTAGTATTATGTAAACCGTGAACGATATCGGTGTTATCAATTTAGGATATTTATGAAAGAAGCAAATGAATTTGGTATGTTTGCAAAGACGTCTGTGTCTACCCCTATGATATTCACCATA